TTTTTTAAGACATTCCAAAGAGAATATTCTTTATTGTTCAAAATTTTGCAAGCGTATTTAACGTTGCATTCTGTAAACATCTGTAAAAATAAAGACAAATATTTTGTTTTCAAAATAACAATTGAACTCTCGACGTTGCATTTATAAATTAAAACATCAAACTATGATTTTGTAGAATCGAAAACATAAAAATTTTGACTTGAAAAATTTTGTTTTTTTAAAGAAAGCTTTTTTGAAAATAGTATTACATCGATTTGCTCACTCAAAGAATTTTATATCGCATATTCGAGATTAAATGACGTTTTATTCGATGCATACTTCATTTCACAGCTGAACTTATCGATCTTTTCTTTCCGATGACCAAGACGCACCTTAGACAAATTTAATACTGTAAGTCTTAAATAAAGTGATTAATTATTTATCTATAAACTACTGTACTAACAACAATGATTTAATTCTCAAAATAAATAAATAATCATTAACCGATTTAATACTTACAATGAGATTATATTTATTAAATTTTTCTGATGTGATGTTTCTACTTCAATGTAGATTAATTTATTTAATCTCGGTTTACTTTATTTATTTTTTTCTAATTCTTATGACTAGAAAAAGATGAAGAATTAGTTATTAAAATTAAACTCTATATATAAGTATAAACGGGCATAAAGGACTATTTTATCTTGGATGTATGCGACGTGTTACGTGTACAATACGACATAAGCGACGTTCACATCAAGTGTTGGTACAGTACGTCTGACACCACATACTGTACCAATTCCCCACAAATCCCCGCGTTCGTTCTGAAGTCCAGTCCAGTTTTTCGGACCGATATTTGGAATTCGGGCGAGATTCGGTCGGGGTGAAACCAGTGGATAGACGCGTGCGCGCTTTGCCTTTTCCAATTTTCCGCGTCGACCGGGTCAGCGCGCGCGACGATTCGGCGAAGCGCCACTTTCAGCCACTTTTTGCGCGAAGGGACTAGCTGCGGCGGCGTAGGTGCGCGCTGCGCGCCGCTCAGTCGGTTGCGCGCCGGTCGAGTGTGTGGATGGGTGGATCGGTGTTGGATCGTAATTTGGTGGTATTTTAGTGTACCGGACCGGAGACTTTTATGCGAGTTGCGTGGCGGAACGGTGCCGCGGGGTATCCTTACGCGAGGGTAAGTAAATTCGACATTGTACAAGTTTTTCTCGGCCGTCCGGCGTTGGAAACACGAAGGAATGGCTTCAGAGCCTCGATTCATTCGGTGACGGGTGGATATTGGTGTCGGGATAAAAATGGCGTGCGCCGCCTCGGTTTCTCTCTCTTTTCTCCCTCTTTCTCTTTCTCTCGCGCTCTCTCTCTCTCTCTTCCTCCGTATACAGTAGTACTATGACACCAGATAGTACTATGGCCCATCGGTGCCGGTGCGTCGCGACGATGAGTCGCGCTGTCAATAATGATCGTGCGGATATCGTGAATCGCGTCGCGACGACGGTGGCGTCGTCATCGCCGTGTCGCCCACGGAAACCATGGGGCCCTACCGGCATCGATTGCTGTGTCGTCGTCGTTGTCGAGCGTATCCCACTGTATTTATCTCATTGAATCACCGCCACCCACCCTCCCGCCTTCGTCAATTCCTCGATTTCTTTCGTGTTTGCCTGGGTTTGATTCCCCGTGACGATATCTCGCGCGGGGCGTCGTCGATTCGTGAAACCTCTCTCTCTGTCTCTCTCTCTCTCTCTCTCTCGATTGGCTTCGATCGGCGAACTTTTTCGCGGCCTATATCTCTCTCGATGGCGAGGTCACCGCCGGTCGACTTTAATTTCCGCTCGTATCTCTCCCACTTCATCGACTCCTCTTCGCCATCCGGCCATTCGTCCATTTGTCCCTCCCTGCTGCCAACGGTTTTGTTCACCTGTCACAAGACGACCTATCTGCCGGTGACCCAATTTCCCGGCGCTTCCATCGAGCGCTGAGGAATGGAATCGAACATAGCTGAATGTAACTAACTCAACGCCCGCGCTTGTGCGAACTAAAGACTCTGTAACTGGTAACAAAGTCCGGCTAGGAGCAATTTCGTCAAAACAAATGAATGAGAAAGAAGGATATATATATATATATATATACTGTCTCTTTTTACATTATTCATTTCTCTCTTTTTCTCTTATTCATTCTGACTTACTGAAGTTGGCAAAAACGACGTGCCAATCAAGAATTTGTCATGTCCGTTGCCAGATTCTGAGTACATTCCAGTGAGAGACACAGATGACAGAGTAACATAATGAATCATTACATTCTTGTTAATTGCAATGTCAAACAAAGAAATGTGATCATGAAATGATCACTGTATTAAGGTAAGAGCAAAGACTTGCATAACTCATAAAGCATAAAAAAATTAACCAATTAGAGTATTTTATTTCATGGAAAGGAAAGAAGATTTTGATTAATTTTCTTATGTATTACGCATTATGCGTTTTGCATAAAAACTTACAATGTGTAAGCATAGTAAGTGATTGTAGTTATAAAAATTCATCAATGATGACAGTCGAATACGAGAAGAATATTCGACTGTTTGGTCAATTTTTACAACTACAACACTTGCTACAACTACACAATTGTAAAATAGGCTTAAGGCATAAAAAATCAATCTAGTCAGACTTTCTTATATATCATCGAAAGGAAGGAAACGAAAGATTTTGATTAATTTTTTAATGCATTGTACATTATGTAAAATTGTACGTTATATAAGATTCTATGCTCCACCCTTATATTGTCTTTTTTTGGAAAGTATCATCTGCAGTTATAGGGTTTTTCATAGTCAGATCTTATATTCGAGACTGTCTTTAAGTTCAGTCTTGAGGTGTCACTAAACCAATCGGAGAGCCGTATTAGCTCGGATCTACAATAGATTTTTAAGCCTTAAGCCATAATAGACGAATCATAATCGATTATTCTCCTCGCATTCGACTACAATTGGTCAATTTCTTACGGCTTGAGGTTTAAAACATCTATTGTAGATCCGGCCTTCGCTTCTTAAGACATTACTCAAGATCTTGAAACAAAAACTGACTATGAATACTGGCCAACGTATCGCCTCGTAGAGAATGGAGACGCGTTTTCTGAATGTTTCTCTCCCTTTTTTTTTAATTAATTACTTTACACCCTGTGACACGAATGCCGAAGAACGAAGGGTACTCGACAGTGTTCGACGCGACAATATTCGCGAGGGCTCCCTCCGCAGTGCATTGGCTTGCTTTGAATTGATGTCAATGGGCGTGGAAAAGCAAATAAAGCGATCTCGCGCTACGATCGTGCGAGATAAACCCGTCCTTGTACCTGCCCGCTCGAAACTTTATTGCCACGCGCGAGTAAAACGTCTGACGAGCGTAAAATGTCTTCCAGCGAAAAATCGTCGCCCAGCTGATATGAGCGAAATTAGATTTACGAAACAAAGCGGAAGTTCAGTTTAACGGTTTACTTTAACAGTTAAACAATTTCTCTTGCTCTTTGACGTAAAGGTCTTGAATGACGCGACACGTCGACGCAACATTATCGCGTTTATGTCTACTAGGTAGTTTGTTATATAAGAATTATTGTTCAAGAATCATTGTAGGAATCTCAGATTTCAATAATATTGTCAGTATCAACAATTATACTGACAATATTGATCGTGTATGATGATTAATATTGATGGATTGATAATAGGTCATTGACAGTGAGCTAGATTTCTTCATTTTTAAACTGATCAAAAATTACGAAATTTGGATTACTGATGAATAATATTATTGCATAAAAATATCATTTTATTGTTAAAAAAATTGATTACTCAATTTACTTTTTTCTTCGGGAGACTTTATATAATAAACAAGTTGAATTTGTTTTAATTTAATAATTTCAATTGAAGTATTAAATTTACTAGGATTCAAAATATATTTTTGAATAAATATATTGATACTTGTGATGAACTTGTTGATAGATTTGCGAATATATGAACTTTTAAAATACTTGAAACACAAGTATTTGTTGGTATTGACGGTATTATTGACTGTATAAAATCCATAATGTATATCGAAATGAACTGAAATGTTGTATACTGATGAGTATACTGAAATAATACTAGATTATTGGTGTAAGATTGTAGAAGTACTAATGCGCATTGTCAGTATTTCACTGATTCAGGTTACTAATAAATATATTATTGATCGAGTTAAAGTTCGCATTATAGATAAATTTCAAAGATCACTGGTCTTGAAACTTCATTCGGAGCTCATTAAGATTTATCCGTCGAAAGACGAATGCTAAAAATCAGTTAAGTGTCACGATTGGCCATTTCCTCGCCATTTCCTCGCTTCAATTTCAATAAATATTTTTTTCGCATTTAGCATTCTTGAGGAAAATGTTCTTGCCGATCAATCTCAGCGAAAAATCAGGCGAGTGCCACATTGCCTATTTCCTCGCGTTAGCTTCAATAAGTATTCTTTCCTTATTTAGCATTCTTGAGAAAAATATTTTCAATCATTAATCTCCTAAAAAAATGGTTTAATAAATAATTTTTAATAAATCATTTTTCATCGAAATTTTGAATTTTGCAGTAGCAAGCTTTTTCTCTTCTAATAGCATTTGGACGAGTTTCAAGCTATCTCTTCTTTAAATGCCATTAGTCTTATTGTTCTTTTTAGCTAAATTTGCACTGCTCACATTTTTTTTTCTGTTCTCCAACGCAAAGAAAAGAGGAAAAATGAAGCGTACAAGAAGTTGAGTTGAAAAGAACAGACTTATTGTTACATAGCCTTTGCATGAATTTCCATTCTAATCTAACTCGGGATGAAAAGAGAATAGTAGATCTTTCTGTCGTTCGCTACAATAAATTTGCAAACGAAATTTTTATAGCTTTAATCGAGATGTTTGTCAAATATCTCGCGAAGCTAATCGAAGGTTTGTCGAATCTGCGATCGCCAAGCTTCACGAAATTAGAAAATTCCTTTTTCCCACAAGAAAAGTTCCACTTTTTTATAGTGAAAGTTCCATTATAAAAAAGTGGAACTTTTTCTCGCTTTTATCAAATATTTCAAATACCTATTTCACTTTACTCTCTAAATCTGAATCAGTGGATAGTCACTAATTATCAAGTGATATACTTTGCACTGATAATCAGTGAAGTTCAACTAAAAAAGGAAGTATGTTTGAGCTATGTTTATATAACTAAAATACTGACATTTGCACGCTAATTTCAATCTTCCAATATCATATTCATTGAATTTAAGCATTAAAACAAGATTAGTTAGATCACACCATAAAGATTAGTTAGGAATCTCACATTTCATTCACTGATTACCAGTGGCATACTTAGCACTGATATCAGTGATTAGCCTGATTCAGATTTAGAGAGTAAATATAAAATGTACACTATATAGTTTAGTTATAAAAAATAATCTTCGAGTCTCATCTCGATTTACAGCCGCTTCCGTGTCGATTTCGTGTCCAGTTCTTCCGCCACATCGTGCTCGACGGAAGTACGTGCGTGCGTGCGTGCGTGCGTGCGTGCGTGCGTGCGTGCGTGCATTCGCTCGCTCGCTTGCTTGTTCATTTGCGGATGCAGAGGAGGAGGAACAAGAGCGAACAAGCGTACGCACTCGCCGTGTCGTTTACGCGGTATGCGCTATTTCGGGAGTACACGCAACGACGTTAATCTGTCAGGAGAAGACACAGAGTAAACTCCTCTCTCGCGAGAGACGGAGAAGAAAGTTTCAAACACCATCCTCCTTTCTCGACCATCCTCATTTATGTATTCCTCATGTACATACATTCGCATTTCTTTCTGTTGAACTTGATACCACGCTTACAATCGTTCCCAATCACGTTTGCACGCGAGAATGTTGTTTCGTGGGGTATTCTATTGCAACATTAATTCTTAAGAATGAAACGGGTTAAAAGTTAAAATTAAAAGTATCTTTCTAGTCGAATATGATATGGCGTATTCATCCAACTCTATAATGCTTGTAACTTCCATTAAAAATAAGTGAAGAGAGCAAAGAATCAAAGCGGGTCTTATTATAGTGTCTATTAATATTTCTTTTTATTGCATACACGCTGAAAATTCCTGGCTGTTGGAACTTACACTTCAAAAACAGTCTGATTGCATTAATTGAAACTTTGAAAATATTAAATAGAGAAATT